TCGTTGGAAATTTTATTTCAAGGCCTATCAAACCAAATTATATTTGGATCAAAATTATAGGGCCAAACAATTAGTTAAGCTCGGTTTTGCGATGTGGACACAAAAAGTGGAAAATAAGTTATAGTTTAGCAAAATGGGCTAAGAATTGGGTTGGTTTACGAAATTTTTTGGGATTGATTATGGATTTAAGCACTCCAACGATTAAATACTTGACCCGACCAATAGTGGCGATGAAAGGTTGTTCATCATCGTGTTTGGTTTTGGGGAGACATTTTTAGGTGTCTACATTAAGGTATTATTTTCAAACCCACCACGTAGTGGTGATGACTAACTATCCTATCAAGTCTGTTTTTAGAAAACTAGAGCTAACAAGATAATTAGGCAAATGGAGATTTCATTTAATACACTCGCATTGAATATCAACCTGGAAAAGCAATCAAGTCACAAGCTTTGGCAGATTTGTGGTTGACTTAAGCCCCGATCTGCAGGCCGTAGCTGACAAAGAAGTAGAAGAAATAAATAACGTCGACAAAGAAAGCAAATGGATCATGTTCGTAGATGGATCATCCAATCAATGTGGAGCTGGCGTGGGAATGTTGCTAAAGTCACCATAAGGGGACATGATAATGCGATCTATATCTTGTGATTTCAAAGTCGTTAATAATGAAGTGGAATATGAAGCATTAATTTCAGGATTGATAGTCACCAAAGACTTGGGGGCAACAACTCTGGACGTGTACAGTGACTCCCTCCTCATCGTCGGCCAACTGACAAGAGACTTCACAGCAAAAAGATTCTAAAATGACAGCCTACCTCGAAGTAGCCAAAGAAAAAGCCACACACTTTAATGCAATACAACAAATTCCAAGATACCAAAACTCCCAAACTGACGCACTTGCAAATTTAGCTTCGCACTCAAAAAGACCACCTTAACATCGATACCCCTAGTCAACTTACAAAAACCTTCCGTATCAACAAAATGCAATCCTCCCCGTCGACAACGTCAATAATGACAACGACTGAACAAAACCACTCATAAATTACCTCACCAACGACACCCCTCCCAACGACCTAACAGAAGCCCGTAAACTAAAATACAAAACCTCCAGATACCACCTCATCGACGGAGTCATGTTCCATAAGTCAGCGTCAGGATTATCAAAAAGATGACTCCAAAGTCATGAACAACAATCCGTCCTTAGCCACTTACACGATGGCATATACACTAATCACTTCAGGGGGCAGAGGACTAGAAAGACTCGCAAAGAGACGAGGATACTTCTAGTCAACACTCCATGAGGACCCGTCAAGTATGTTGCCTAATGTGATAGTTGTCAGGGATTTGCCAACACAGTCCACAAGCATTCGGAATCCTTGCACCAAACCTTATCTCTATGGCCTTTCATGAGTTAGGGAATGGACATCGTCGGGAAGCTACCTGCTGCACCAGGACAAAGAGTTTATATGCTAGCAATAATAGATTATTTTTATAAATGGATAGAAGCAATTGGCTTGAAACAAGTGACAGACAAGGAAGTCATCTCGTTTCCGTGGACTAACATTATTTGCAGGTTTTGCATTCCGTCGGTGACAGTCTGTGACAACGGATCACAGTTTATTAGCAACAAAACTCGTTCGTTTTGTAGAACATTTTGAGTAGAATTGGGGACGTCGACACCAAGATACCCCCAAGCTAATGGACAAGCAAAATCCAACAACAAAGTCATTTTGAACGCTATCAAAAGTAAATTAAAATCAGCAAAAGGAAGATAACCGTCCTGTGGGCCAATCGAACGACGTCGAGGCGTGTAACAGGATAGACGCCTTTCTCCCTTATCTATGGTTGTGAAGCCGTCTTCCTAGTAAAATTTGAATTTCAAACGTCTTGATTTGGGCTGATGACGGAAGACAGAAACCAAGAAGAAATGGAAGACAGCTTAGACGCAGTTAGAGAATTGCGAGAAATAGCCCTAATCAGAATGGAAGCGTAACAACAAATAGTCGCAAGAAGCTTCAATAAAAATGTGTGCCTGGGTACTAAGGAAAGTTTCCAAAACACAGAGGACCCTACCAACGGTAAGCTGCCCCCCCCCCCCCCGAAAGTCCATACAAGATCACCCAATTCATCGGCAACAACGCCTATTGACTGTGCGATCAGCAAGGTAAACCTGTTCCAAGAAGTTGGAACGCAACTCATCTCAAAAATTACTACTTCTAAAGTGTCAAAAGAGTATTCGTCAACGATAAGGTAACATCTCTGATCTTACATTTGATTACTTATTTTCACTACGAGTTCTAACTTAAGCATCGAAGGGTCGTTGACCATATCAACGGCCAACGATACTCTAACCATGTTAGTTTTGCAGTACATTAATCGACGAAATATGCAGCGACGAAACAAAAGACTCAGCTCATGACCCAAAATCACATCAAACGACACAAAAAAAATCGTCGTCGACTGCACTAACATCCTCTAAAAGGATGAGGATATTTGACGTTCAAATAAGAACATCAAAACAAAACAAATCCTAGGAAAATATGACCTTAGCGTCCAACGCCAAACACCCGACACCTGAACTACAAACTTAGTCTTTAGTGTTCAGCATCGACGCTGGGACGCAAGGGGCATTGGCAAACAACGAAGGCTTAACTCGAGTATATATAGTCTTCGATGAAAACATTGACATCGAAAAGACCAATGTATAAAATAAAAATTTACTAAGTTTTACATCTTTCATTTATTACATTATCTAGTGTATTTAGAAACAGACTAATAAATACCTTCTAATTTATATTATTCTTATTCGTTTGTTCCCTTTTGTTTTGGTTCTAGCTTAACTATTTTTCTCTAAACTATTAAATCTTTTCCTTACATTTCTTGCTATACGCAGATCAAAAGCAAAAGACAATAAATGAAACAAAGGAAAAATATCATAACAAAATTTATGACAAAGTCACAACAATGTTCAAAAGAACCACTTGTCATCAAGTGGAACATAAAGAAACAAAATCCAAAACAAGAGAATTGAAAAGAATCAACAGGAAAATATCCAAGCCAAAAAGAAAGAACATCAAGGTACGAAACAAAAACAGAAATACATAACAAAAGAAAGCGAAACCATCATAACCAATGTTCTTCAAACAACGCGCCTTCAGTAGCATTGTCATCAGTGTTCAGCTCCTCGACGACGTCCTTAACGATCTCGTCGGCCTGAGCATTATCCCTAACGCCTTCACCAGTTGTCGGTTACGCTCCAGCATCGCCAGTGGACGGAGGAATAACGAACAATGATCGACGGATGAGGTCTTGAATCCGTAGTCGAAACCACTACAGTATGATCTCCTAGTGCAACTAGAGCTCCTCCATTAGCTATAAAACGATTAATGTGCTCCTGAGGTCGCCACCCGAATCCTTCCCATCCGGGTACTATTTCATCAATTTAGCCTTGAGCTTGATCTCCAGCTCCGCACCCTCATCTAGAGCGTCGTCTAACTCCTTTTTTATTGTCAACAGCTCACCTTGCACCTTTGACAAAGCTTGGTGTCTATCCCGAATGATAAAAACTTTGTCTTCCAAATGCTAAGCTTGCTCCTTCAGTTGCTTGGCCTGATCCTGCAACTATTGGGCTTATTCCTCCAACTTCTTTGATTGCTAGTCCGTCTTCTTGGACAATTATTCTAAACAACTTTCAAGTTTGTCCACTTTCTTATTCGCTTCGTCGAGCTCCTTCCTCATGGTCGAAAATTTCCTCGTTGCATTCTTTGTCTTAGCTTCACTATTCTTCGCAACATCATCCAACCTCTTCATATCCTTAGCCAACCCGATCACCCTCTCCCTCAAAACCAGGGAATTTTGCAAATACTGTCCAATCCAGCAAAACACGAATTACAAACCAAAATACACATTGCTAACCAAATAAACAAAGGAAGGAAAACTACATAAAGATGAACGGAAGCATCCTCCGACGCGATGTCCAAATTGGAAGTCCCAGCCAAATGCTCTCGAGAACCCCGAAACAACACTTGATTTAGTTGAGGGAACATAGGCTGACGATTCCTCTTAGCAAGGTTGAGAAATTCAGAAGGAAAGCGTATCTCCACATCTTAAAATACTAGGGCATCGTCCATCTTCTGCTGTTTATGCAGAGGAGACGACGCTATGTGAACCACAACAGCTTCGTCGCTAACTTTATGTGCAACGAAGCATGATGTTGTTCTGTCCTGTCCACCACCGAGAATGGCGACGCCACTTGAGGTGGTAAACCCATTTTCTCCTCATCTTCACGTCTTAATCTGCCTGCGACAAGCTTCTGTAAGGAATTATAGGTACTACGCAGCGGAATAAACATGAATCACATTCATTAAGCACCAAACCAAGGATCTCATGCATAACACATAAAGAGTAACAATTATACCTTTGAAGCGTGATTCCACTAGTAATCGAACAAGAACAAGGGAGACAAAGAACCTCAAACGTGATTCCTCTACTTGGTCCACAAGCACGGATTAATACCTCCACTAATGCTAGTTAGTCGCGATCAAACTCTTCAACCGACTTTCTACTGAGAAGAATGAACAACGAACTAGTCATGAACCACCACGAACTCCACCAGGAGTGGCCGGCCGCAAGTCCAATGGGGGAGAGGGGTGCCGTGAGAGAGAGAGGGAGGTTTAGGGTTTTTGGGATTTGGTTGCCTTGATTCACAATTCACTGTAAGTTAATTGTGACTTAATTGATCAACCCTAGGCATGGATCTTATTTATAGATCACATCTCTAAATAAGAGTCCATGAAAAAGCCAAATTCCTAATCCCAATCAAACTACACTATCCCAATCCTATTCATGATTAGTTAAATGCTCATAGGGCCCATTAATGGGCCTCTTACTTGCTTAACCCAATACCTTTGTGTGTGACCTCATAGGATCCATTCTAGCGAGCTTTGAACTATTTTACTAGCCCAAAGATCATCTCTCATAGTCTAGCAACAGATGATGACGCCAAAGAGAATGAACTTATTATCTCCATAATAGTGATCCTTGATATATCTAGTAATTGCACTTATCGAAGACACAACTCCTTCAGTTTCATCCTCGACGACCGCCTTGCGCTGCAAATTCTGACCAAAATAGAACATAACGTACAACGGATTAACACTTAAACAAAAACAATGACACAAATAGCGAATTTAACAAAATGACAAAGACTCACAAGTAGACATCATTTCCTCGAAATCTTCGGCTTATAGGGAAAAGTTCGGTGAATCCTTGTGTTTTTGTCCCAACGATTCACTAAGAGGGTGCCTCGTCCTTCCAAAGTTCTTTTCGCATACCCAGCTTCCAAAGCCCGTTACACCTTCGTCAACGATCCTTTTGTTAGCTTAAGATAATCATAATCAAGCTCTGCACATATAAAACCAATATCAAACATTCAGAAAACCTTAGTTCTATGATACCAAGTCCTAAGATAAATTGCTTACCCTTCTCCGGCCATCCTTTCGTCAGCCACATTCTGTCATTACCTATTGAAGACTTCTTGACAAAAATAAAATAATTGGCCCAACCCCTATCATTACAATCAGTGTTCAAAACCAGCGGTTCTCCCTTCTTGTGTAAACTCACAAAACGATGCGTTCTCATCTTTATGCCATAAGCCTCAACTAGATCTTCCAAAGTAAAAGAATCCTCCTAGTTCATGGTAATTCCTTCCAAAACTGATAAAATTATCCAACCCGACAGCATCAACTGCCAGGGCTTAACCCCAATACCTCGAAGAAATTAAAGACCTAGTCAGAGGCTTGAAGGAAAATTCAGCCCATGTCTCCATAAATGGGTATCTGAAAAACACTATAAACCCTTTTAGTTAGTTCTCCACCTTCGGACCCTTTCCAGCAAACACACTCTCAGGGAACCCTGCCATTTTAACGAAGTCATCCTTCAAAGCAGTCATCATCAATGACTCCGCATTTAATACCACTTTCATTTCTAAAACAATTGTTCCCCTTTTCTCAACAACTCAAAGCAAAAACCTAAACCTAGTTTTAGGAATTCTATTTGACATTTGCCGAATTTAACTAAGAAAACAAAGAATTGAAGTAATTACCTATCGATTTGAGCTGACGAGAGTTCAAAATCGAAAATCGTCGCCGCTCACCGCCTTAGAATCACCCGAGAACTTTTGCCAAAGAGAGAGAAGGAGTGTAGTAATTCCGGGGAAGCGGGAAAAATGTAGCAGTAATAAAGGCAAGAAGCTAAGTGACGGTTAAATGGAGAAGTGGGAAGTTGGAGTAACTTCTCGAGTTAGTACAACAAGCGGAAAGATGATCTACCCTTAAATAAGTTGATTTTGAATCAATTTTGATTTTTGAATTTCTCTGTTTGTTTTTCATTTCCGTAGTTTTAATTGTTGAATTTGTACATCGCTGCCCATATTAAGCAATTAGGGGCAAATTGTTATGGTTAAATTTTAGTAAGTCAACATCAACGCAAGTCAGGCAAGGTCAAAGACGAAGAGTAAAGCATCGATGAATAAAGCCCAGGCTTGACGGACGAAACCTTAATAAACAGCCCCGTCCTATTTTCCAGGAGATGATAAGCTTCAGTGACTTGGTCTTTTGCTATCTAAATCAAGCCGTTAGTGGGCTAAGTTAAGGGTTGGTCAGCAATCAAAAGGGATATGGCCAAATATTAAGGGAGGCATTATATCATTTTATAATGACTATATTGAACCCTAATAAACATCTATTAAAGGAAGAAGCATCATCAATGTTAGACACACTGAAACCTAGCTACCAGAGTACACCGAGCATACATTGCAATCCTTCTTCAATATTTTACATAGTGAAAGTTTGATAGACCCTCATTCTACCAGCGGTTTTACCTCTTTTGGGTTTTCCACATCAACAATTCCTTAATTGTGTCATTTCTTTATTTCGTATTATTTTAAAATAAGGTGTATTTATTTGGTTCGAAACCTAGATTTTGCTATTCAATCCCACTCGACGAAATTCAGCATAAACAATAAGTATCAATTATTTCCTTAAAAAAAAGTATAATCTATTTCCTATTACTCCATAGTAAAGAGTTCTTAAGTGTGATTCGATGATTTTCGTACAATTATTTACTTGATGAATAAGGTGTCAAAAACTCACCCGACCCGAAAGGTTCATCTAAAACCGAATTGTTTTCTAACTGGTTTAACCCGCAAATTTTTTATCCGAATTCGATCTGGAGTCAACCCGAAGTTAACTCATAACCGACTTCACCTATTAATATATGGTCCAAACCCAACTTAGAATCGACTCATAGTCAAATCGAAACTATTAAGACCCGATAATTCAAGATCCGAATTCGATCTAATTCGAAACAAAATCTACCCAAAACCATTTTGACCCTAAAAGTATCTCTTTTTACCCGATCTATTTATTACCCGATTTCTATTTACCCGACTTGAAACATCCTTTGACCCAACTTAACCCGACCCAAATCTACTCATGATTAATTTTTACCCGACCTTTTTAATTAACTTAATCCAAAAATTTTCATGACCATCCTCTCCAACCATTTTAAGTTGTAATTAGGAAAAGTGAGACATACACTATCATATTTACTTATATATCCTTTGCATTCGTCTAACTAAGCTAACAAACTATAATTACATCCAAGAGCCCATGATTTCACACATCTAAATATTCTACATTTCTACAACATTGCAAACTAAAAGCTCATGGATGACCAAAAATTTAACGTATGTACATTATTAATTCATTATTCTTGTCAACACCAATGTCAAAATCAATCCAATCATTCGTTAGAGTGAGATATGGACTTTGTGTTAACATATTTTATATAAGTTAAATAAATCTAATGCTAATCCAAAAAATAAAAAAAAAAGTTAGAATTTATCATCTGCATTCATCTAATACTAATACTATACTTATCCTGTGCATTCATCTAAATAAATCTAATACTTATCATCTGCTTTCATCTAAATGATCAATAAATTATTGTATTGAAAAGCTAGAATTTAAAATTTGATAAACAAAAATAAAATTAATACTGCATTGAAAAACATGGAGTAAAAATTATTATGTAATTTTATTTCTGATGTCCACTACCGCTACCGAAATCAAATTACATTTATTTAGAGTTATAAAAACCATCGCACACAATAACAAAAACTTAAAATCTGGGAATGTAATCTGATTCATCACGCAGGGGCATCAACACTTCAGCATGGCAGCAACCCTGTACATTAAGAAAAAAAAATCAGATTAAAAGAAATTAAAAGAATGATTTTTGAACCAAAAAAACAAGTGCATAGACCTACCTTATTAGGGAATAGATTCATAATCGATATCATTAGGGTCGGTCTCCCTTTCAATATCAAGATAGTCTTCATCCTCCAATTCTTCATAACCAGATATCCAATTTTGACAAGTAACCAAAACCTCGACATTTTTCGGCAACAAACGTGACCTATACTTGGTTAAAATTCTACCTCCCATACTAAAAGCAGATTCCGAAGCTACGGATGTAATGGGAATTGCTAACACATCTCTAGCCATTCGAGCAAGAGATATAGGAAATAGTGAAATACATAGATACTAAATAAATATAGAGTGGAAATAAATTGATATATTGTTAATATAAGGAAAACCGTGCGCAAAGAAATGGCAATGTTGAATGGAGTCAACATATTAGGGACAATACAAATGTACAAATTGTCATTGATTGATATTAGTGCATGGATTAGGGACGGTACAATGATCATTGATTGATATATTTAGACAATTAGTCTATGATTTTGCACTCTAAAGTCAAACAATCCAATATTATCATTATACCATGAAATATACTTCCTAAAATGTATAAAATTTGAAGTTTATGACATTAAATATGTATAATATATGTTATATTAATGTGATTAGGTGTATTATATTCACGATTTTGATGAATCTGAATTTATCTGAATTTATTTCAACTTAATTGATCTTATCTGAATTTATTTCAACATATGTTACATATATGGATTTATCAGAATGTATCTGAAATAATCTGAATTTAATTATTTGAATTTATCTTAATTAATCTTAATATATCAAAACTTATCTAAACTTATATGATATTATCTGAACTTATTACACAAAGTCTTTATGTGGTCGGTCACATCGTGTGGCTGGGGTTACTTTATTAGTGTAATCGCGGTTACTTGATCAGTGTTAAAGGGATTACTTGATCAGTGTTAAAGGGGTTACTTCCTCAGTGCTATAGGGTTACTCAGTGTTATAGGGGTTACTAAGTTTGTATTACAGGGGTTACTTGGTCAGTTCGTTTTATATGGGTTACTTTTTTTTTAAATAAGTGGTTACTTGGTGTGGCTGGCCACACACAAGACGGGTTGGCGAACTTATAGTCTTGTAATAAGAGAAAATAATAAGGCGAGTTGAACAAACCCTTATTAGAACGGACTCTAACATATTAGGGCTTATTTAGCTTATTTTAGTTATAATTTATTTGAATTTGGATATTAGACAGTGTGTTTATTTCATCTGACTGTCACTAATCTTATCTTATTGCCGTATTGGCCTAGTTTAGGGTTTGCATTGCATAAAGTTGTAAGAAAATTACAAGGTATGGTCCAAATTGAGAATTTTATAATATAAAGTGTAGTTAGTGGAAATATAATTAATTGTTAATATGAGTAAGAAATAATAAAATATTTTTGTTGGTAGGATTAATGAGGAGAAGTAATAAAATATTCGTAGTAACGTGTCCTTACTAAATAAGATGTTAGAATTATTATGAAACCAACGTAAAGTAAATATGTGTTGCGATTATTACAAAATGGAGGGGTATAACTTCATTAACAATAACAAAATCAAACGTTACTAAAATATGAAAAATCTTGTATTCTTAATCACGAGTTAGTTGCTAATATACAATAGACAATCTCGATACTTCTAATAATCGAGTAGCCAATGAATTGGCGATGATAAATAGCCACAAAGACGACGATAAACCAAAACGTAAGGAAACATTTTATAATATGTGATAATCACCTGATCAAGGAGATAAATAATCATTTTAATTTCTTTAATAACTTGAGTTGTCAATCTTATATCAATTCTGATAAGCCAATACAAAAACTTAAACGAAACCCAAAAAATGATCTAAACTATATATGAATAAAATCTCCAACAACAAAAATGACATGACTATTCTAATATAGCTAAAAGCCAAGTTGAATCGAGATTGACCCAAATTCAAATTATTCGACCCAAAAGAATGAGCTAATTATCGAAGTAACGAGATTCAATTTTTTGCCGGAACTGAATTGATTTGAACCGAGATTTAATCGAATACGAAATGACCTGACCCAAAGTTAAATAAATCCATTTTAACCCAAATAAACCCGATAAAATCCGGACCCGAGTTCTTCTGAACTCGGTATGACTCGACCCGAATTTGATTTGGGCCAAGTTTGATTTGTATCCGACCATGCTTGAACTCAACTTTAACCCGAATCTGATTAAGCTCAACCTGATTTGATTTGGTTTGTTAAGTTAAAATGACCCATCATTACCCGATCCAAACATCCCGACCCGTCGTGGGTCAACCCAAACTCCATCTGGGTACCCGATTTGACACCTCTAGTAGTTTTTCTTATTGCTAGAGAAAAATTGCTATCAAGTAATGCCACCCAATCGCTTTTAGCTAGGGGTTGCAATCTCTACTCGAAGAGAGTCACTAATGTACGAGTAATTTTCAATCTAAGAAATTATTAATAAAGCCAATTTGCAAGATGCAAACAAAGATTAGAAATGAAATAAGTACAGGATTATTGATTTCAACATTCAACTCAGAGAAGCACACACTAGCATAAAGATATATTTAGGCTAGCCAATTGAGGGACGTCATAATAGAAGAAAGATTACCTCCAAAACTTATCGTACAATTGAAGAAAACACTAAAGATTTCCAATTTATGGAAGTTAAGCTAAGTTATCCTAATCTAGACTACTAAGCCTAAAGATTAAGGTTAACGATAAGAAACTACGTTGATCGATTGTTTGCCCCTGAAGCTTTGATCATTGTCGAAATTCATAGTCAAAACATCAGTGGCAATTACTAGTTTTCATGCTCTTGCCTTGAAGTTTTTGAATTACGCTCATTGTTATAAGGTAAAAGTGGTAAAACCCTGCATTCATCCTTTACTAACTGCTTCTCCATTCAGTTGCATTCCTTCTAACTGTTGTTAAAGCACAAATGAGGCTTAACCATGTTTTCTTATTATTTGGGCCTGCCTGAACAAGTTTTATAATGGATTGGCCCAAATTTTTTTTTTTTTAAAAAAGGGTTGTAACCCTTATGTGTTGAACTTTTTTGAAGATACTCTTTAGAAAGATCAAGTCCCTATATTTTACACGTAGCCAAAAAAAAAGAAATGAAAAGTAGTCAGTAGTAATAAGGGCTTATTTATTTGGGGGGGGGGGGGGGAATATAGCAAATTAGCACCAAGACTTTAACTCTATGTTCAAATTACCCC